GTGAGCGAGACGACCATTTTAGTTATCTGACGCAAGTGATCAAAAAATACTCGTTTTTCTTACTGTACCTTTGCGAAAGTCACTGCAGCACCGACCAGCAAAACAAAGAAAAGAGCTTAACAATGATAAAAAATACTCGTTTTTCGTACTGCACGTTTGAGAAATTCACTGCAGCACCGACCAGCAAAACACAGACACAAACACAATGGATACACTGCAGGTGCTCATTCGTGTCTTCTAAATCATGACACAAAGTTGTTTCCGTCAATAGATTATTCAATTGTATGCCGCAAAAATACAGCTTGCTAAAACATTTATTTGCATGATGTATTCATGAAGCACGTAACTTCACAACTTTCTCGCTTTTCCAGAACACGCCTAACTTCAATTGTAAAATGATGATCAGATTCCGAAAGTTAGCATTCGGTGCCAGTTGTGATGCTTTTTTCAGCCGTAAGGATCGCGTACGGCAAAACACGACACATGTGGAACAAGTGCTAGCCCCGCGTGTTTGACCCTTCAAAGGCTTATGATTTGCTATAGACTATACTCAAATGTTGTGAAAAGTTGGCACATGGAAGGCTGCAAACATATCAGGTGAGTCTCACGGGGTGCCTAATAGAGATATATCATTGCGTAGCGCGATACTACAGTTAGTTTCAGGTAGAGCAGTGGAGAGGTCCTGTTGATGTAGCACTAATATGGAGTGCACATATATGTTCAGGGCATTTATGGACAAATGACAAAAAATAAACCTTTAACAGTGCACATCAAAACACAATTTCAAATATGGTTGTCATAGCTACATGTGTGAATAGCTGACACAATGGGGATTGCGCACCATGTATATGTGTGGCATGCCTTACTTGAATAGAAGGTCACTGGGGGTGGTCATGGTTTTAAGATGCTTGCTAGCTTTAAATTGTGTACCGCGCAGCAGACGCATCCTGTCCAGGACAGGCACAACCGACCACGTGAAACGCAGTAGTTCTCAAAGAAGACTCGTAAATCGTAGCTGTCACTTTCTAAGTGACGGAGCACGGACAAGGCCTTTAGCACATTGTGGAGCCTTTAGCACACTGTGGAGCTTAACATTTACATACGACACAAGCCAGCGCCTTCTGCACATTGGATACACTGCAGGTGCTCATTTATGTCTTCTGGAACATGACACTAGTTTTTGTCAATAAATAATAAACTTTACGACGTAAAAACCCAGCTGGCTAAATCAATTATTTTCATATTATATTCTTGAAGCAAGTAACTCCACAACTTGCTCGCTTTTCTAGAGCACGTCTTCTTTATTGTGAAATGATGATCAGATTCGGGAAGCTAGCATTCTGGACCAGTTGTGACACTTAGTTCAGCCGTACGGATGGCGTGCGGCGAAACAACACGACACAAGTGGAACAAGCGTTTGCACCGCGTGTTTCGCCCTTCGTAGACCTGTGATTTGCTGTAGAATATACTCAAATACTGTGAAAAGTTGGCTCATAGAGGGTTGCAACAATATCAGGTGAGTCTCACGTGGTGCCGAATAGAGAGATATCACTGCGTAGCGCGATACTACAGTTAGTTCCAGGTAGAGTCGTTGAGAGGTCCTGTTCATGCAGCACAGATATGTAGTGCATATATAGGTCCGGGGAATTTATGGACAAATGACAAAAAAGGGACATTCTTGTACAGTGCACATCAAAACACAGTTACAATGATGATCGTTATAGCTACATGTGTGAACACCTGACACAATTGGTATTGCGCACAATGATGATGTGTTGCACGCCTCACTTTATTGGAAAGTCGCTGAAGATGGTCACGGTTTCAAGATGCTTGATAGCTTTGGATTGTGTACCGCGCAGAAGACGCATCCTGTACAGGACAGGCACAACCGACCACGTGGAACGCAGTTGTTCTCAAAGAACACTCGTAAATTGTAGCTGTCACTGTCGAGGTGACGGAGCACGGGCAAGGCCTTGAGCACATTGTGGAGTTTTTTTGGTTCTAGTTGCTACTCGTGCAGTGTGCGACTCGTGTACAGGGTCAGGTATTCTAGACATGAAAAAGGCAGGACTGGGCGTATTGAACGCAGTAGTGCATACATTCGAAGCACATGCCGAAGCTGTTGAAGCGTGCTGCGCCCAGGGTTTCGCGAGTGAGAGAAAAAGTAAGCATACAGTTGTCACTGAGTCTTCCCGCTAATCTCGAGACATCGCTGGTGAGGCAATGGACGGACATTCAGTTTGAGGTCCCCCGCTGACACTGCGCAATCTTCAAGCTGGATAACCTGGATGTTCGGTCACAGGTTTACGAGAGTGGAGAGCACCACACCATCGCATCGGGCCAGGCCCCGTTCTTCTAGATCTGGGAACTTTTCAAGGACATATTTAAATACCAAACTAATGACTTCGCGGTCACCCTCTGGCCAGAATGCGTTGAGGCTACGAAGGTTGTGGAAGACCGAGATCTTGGCAAGACATTCCACTGAAGCCAAACGGGCCTGCACGATGTAAGTGTTTAGATGAAGTCGCTTTTCAGAAAAGCAAACAGTTGCCAAATCTTTTTCAGTTTCTTTTTCTTGGGGCCATATTTCACTTGTCTCATGTCGGAAATCGGCACAACAAAAACAAAACCAGCACATACCA